ACACATAAAAATACCAAGGGGGAGCCTGGTTATGAGGATAAAATTAATCCAAATGTGGGAAGTTTTCATCTGAGGTAATAAAATTTCAATCATAACAGTACTTGGTGTATAGTAGGCTCTCAGTCAATAATTAATAAATGATTAACTGAAAACAGAATAATCTTGTGAAAACATTTTTTTCCTTCTGATAATTGAGAGACCAGTAATTTTGTGAAGAAACTAATTTTTTATTTCAGTGTGGATAATGAAGAATTACATATCTTATGACATAGGTAACATATTAATAATGCTATTAATTCATAATTTTTATTTTTAAATGTATTTAATAGATAACTTATGCTATTTTGTCTCTATGGTCTGTCTTATTCCCCTGGTTAGACAAAAAGAAAATGGTCACAAGTAAAAAATGGGCAAACCACAGCTCAGAGAAGTAAACAAAATCTCTGCAAGAAAATCAATAGCGAAAATAGGAATAGAACTTAAATCTCATATCTCTCCCTTCAGTGAACATTATACAAAATGTCATTTCCTCTTCCAGAACAAAAACAAAACAATAAACTGCAAATAGACAATAATATATCTAATATTTATTGACTGATTTGTATTTGCCTGGTACTCTGGTAAATGCTTTAGATACACAAGTTCATTTAATCCTCACAAGACACTTATAATGTGCATATTTTATTCTCCCTGTACAGAAGAGGAAATGCAGTTTACATCAGTTTGGACACCTGTCTAAATTTACACAGCTACTACCTGGCAAGGTGGGATTTAACCTCAAGTCCTTCTAACATCAAGTCCAATCTGTAAGCCTCTCCACCATAAAGCATTATATTACTGACCCCTTTGAAGAGCTGCATAAAAATTTATGTGAGAAAAAACAGAGATGGTTCAGGGACACTGATGCTTGATGACTTCTGTAGAGAGACTAATTTTCCTCCACTTAAGCTCTAGGCGAGTCACTCCACCAGTTCTCCAATTGCCCCAAAACAGTAAGGGGTTTTAATCTTGACTTCTTCTCCCTCTTCATCAGCCTTCCTTCTTCATCAGCAATTATCAATCCCATCAATTTGAATTCTTTAGGATTTCCCATGTTTTCACCTATCTCCTTATGCTTGCTACTACCCTAGCTCGGACCACCATTGCTTCCCTCCTGTTCTGTGGCAAAAGTCTCCTCATTGGTCTCCCGATATTTTGTTTCAACCCTTCTAAACATTTTCCACAAGTAACCAGAATCATTGATCTTTCTAAAATACACATACATGTTTGCTTACAGTGAAACATGCTTGTCTATGGTGTACGATCTATATTTTACATGGTACACAAAGCCCTTGAGATCCAGCCCCTATATTCTCTTCCCAACACTGAAAACTCTTATCATACTGAGATATAAGACAAAGCCACAAATATAAAGTGCTCTTATACTTGGATCTCTGCCTATACCATCTCCTGTGTTTGTAATAAATACTCTCTTCTTCTCCTTCCTCGCCCACCTGACCTTCAAGTCCTTAGTTTAGATATTTCTTCTTTTAGGTAGACTTCACTTATTGTCCAAGATTGAGTGAGCTGGACATTCAGAGTTATTTGTTATCATAGCACTTGCATATCACACTAACTACTAGTTTACCTTCTTCCCCAATGTGCTGAGAGCAACGTAAGGAAGGTTGAGGTCTTGTTCTCCTTCATAATCCTGTACCCACCACAGTACCAGATAGACAGCAAGTGCCAAAGAGTATTTGTGAAATTAAAGGGGGTGGGGGGAGAAAGGGAGAGACACAGAGAGAGAGAGAGACGGAGAGACAGAGAAAGAGACAGAGAGAGATAAAGGGAGGGATGAAGCAATGAAGGAGAAAGTGGGGGAGAAAAAGGAGAAGTAAGAAAAAGAAGAGCATAAGCGATAAAGAAAGGGGGGGAGGATAGGAGAGGGGAGGAAGAAGAAAGGGGGAGGAAGAAGAAAAAGAAGGAGGGAGAACGGGAAACAAGGAGTGAGGGGAGAAAGGAAGGAATAGCTTGTGAAATTGCAGGAAAATGGAGAATATTCACCCAAGACTCCAGTGGAAATTTCTGGGGAGACTCTAGAAGCCATCAGTCCTTCAGTGATGGGCTATTTCTCTGGGGTTGCAGACATCGTCATAGTCAAGGAGTCCTGCTGTTAAAGACTAAAAAGGACCTTAAAACAACTCAGCTCCACTTCATCTGATAATTGAGTCAAGGACAAGAGATGTGGCTTGCTCAATAGAAGACAGAGATGCAAAAACAATTAAGATGCAAACACAGGCTGGCATAATTTCGCAATCCAAGTTGTCTTCATCATATCTGTCTTCCCAAAGACACAAATGAATCAATAATGACAGGAACAGGGTATTAGCTTAGGGCTCTTTGTCCCTGACTTGGGCTCTCTGCACACTGCAATTCTGCATGCTATTTCTTTTTTCCTAATGTTTAACTTAATGCAAAGAACTTCACTCTTCTAGGCAGGTATAAGTAAGGCAAAATAATATTTTGTAGTATTTGAGTATTCTCTAGTAAGACAAAAGAGTATTTGATCTCTTTCTGCCTAGTGCTCCCTGCTAAGTCACCTTCATCCTCTAACAAGCCCTGAGCTTTTCCTCATTCGCCACTTTGTCATATGTCCTCTTGTCTGGAAGGCCCCTGCTGCCATTTTTACCTTTTGAAATCAAGGCTTTGCTCTAATGTCTCTTTCTCCCTGAGACCTGCTTCAATGTCCCTCATGGGAAATAATTGTTCTATCTTCTCTGCTCCAAAGGAATTTTCTCCATTTATTCCTCACATATGAATTGGCCTATGTCTTTTATTACAGCTTCATGTGCATTTATTTTTTTTTCTCATTAAAGGTAACTCCTTGAAGACTGGACTCATTCTTGCTTTATCTTTATCTCCACTAGTAGGAACTAGCACAGGACCTTGATACGGCCTATATTTCATGTTTGTTATGTTGACTTGAACTATAGAATGCATTTTCCGACTCTGATGCCTATATATCTTAAAAAAGCTAGAAATTCATACCACTCCTTTTTGTTTAAATTTCCCATGAGTATGCTGTGTTCAACAGTTGTTTAAAGTGAGCTGTTAATATGGACCAAAGGTAACAAATAAATGAGGACGGAAGCAGGGAGAGACAGCAGTAAAATTGAGCAAGTGAGTATCAGAACCTTCAAATTTATGGATAATAACATGATTTCATATGCTGGCCAATTGAGGGAGCAATTATTAAAAGAAATTCATGCTCTTTTAAAAAATATTGCCAAATAAAGAGCTTGTTGTAAGAGAAGGGGCCTCGTTTGTTATAGGGTTCTTCTTTTAATGCAGAGGCTTCTTGGTAGAACCTTTATAGCAATATATTTCAAGTATGGAAAACAAAGAAGAAGCTAAGAAACACTAACTTTTGCCCAAGGTTAGTAAGGATTTACTTGAGGTAAATAACCTGGGCTGCTCATTTCATTCATTTTAACTAGACGTGTTCTTGTACAGGGCAGGTGGCAAATTGGTTGGATGTAGAGAAATGAAGCAAGAGGTACTTTAAATGCCAGGGCTCCCAATCTCTCTCAGCAAGGTTTGACCTTTCCTAAACCTCCATTTCTTATCAGGTGAAGTTAGCAGTTCCATTAGCTTAAGCAGAAAGATTTTCAAATTATTTTAGAAAATATTTTAACAGTGCTTTTTAAATGAAATTTTGTATATTTTTTAAAAACATAATTTTAATTCTGCTCAAGTCTAACATTTTTCTGTATTAATCACCTACTACTAACAGCCCAGATTCCAGAAAGCTAATGGCAGCAGAGGTTTTTATCGGCACTTTTCCCTGAGCATTGTTCAAAGGGCATTTTTTTTTTCATCCACCACTTATATGCATGGCCAGATAAAATGCATCACTGGATTCATGTATAGCAGACATCCTTTACAGTAGTTCAATTCTATCACAATTTTCAGAAATATAATTTTCTAACACTAAACAACTATTTATAACTCCATTGGTTTTGAAATGCCATGTCGAAAAGTCAGAGGAAAATTAAAAGCAAGAAAAATAATGACAGAAATAATACCAGCAAAATAGAAAGATTATTCCTGTCCATTTCTAACTCCAATTTGAGAGTTAAATAAATAAATTTTATGAGAAAATTATGAGAAATTATGAGAAAAAAATATATAAACTCTCTCGGGTATCTTTTCTAAACTTCATGGAGTTGACATTATAGCATTTGTTAGAGTAAATCGTACCCTTCAGAATGCACATAAGAGAGCATATTGGGTTGTTATATACTCTTTATTTGAGTTCCTGATATATTGTTTCTTTTTCTTACCTACACTTTCTGAAACTTTACTGATAAATTATAGCCGATTTTGATTTTTACTCAGTTCTCTCTCTCTCAGATTCCTATAACCACAGAAAATGCTCTTAAGCTCCAGAACTCCTTCTTTCTGAGCTTCTCTAGTAAGAAAAATAAAATCCTCAAATATGAACCACTCACTCATTCATGCATAACAGTGGGTTCCCAAGAGTAATTCATTTTTAAGAGAGGGTTTCTTAAATCCATATCTGTTCCTTATACCTTGGGACACAATGGAAAGTCTTGTTTTCTCTCAGACATTTTTCTCCTACTTGGAAACTCCTCAAAATAACATTTTCCTATTGCATACCAATTCGGTAGGTACATGCAACGTTGGAAGAGGTGATTTCTGGATGCCTCAGTGACAGGGATTATATCATTATCCTTGTGGGAATTTATCATTATGGAAAAAAAGAGGGAATATGCGGTTATCTCATCTGTAAAATGGAATAACAATAATACCTCCCTCATAGATTAGCTAGGAGGATGACATGAGCTAATAAGGTGAAGACTCAGTAAGTAGTAAAGAATTATCTGTCAGTCCACATTGGCTATTATTATCATTAGCCCCAGTAAACACAGTGAGGCAGTAGAGCTCAGAAAAAAATATGGAAAGGCTTGATTGAGGAAAAGGAGTTGCTGGAGTCTTACCTCCAGGGAATCGTCAGCGTTCACCATCCAACAGTCTGTCCAGGTGGCCACAACCAAGAACGCAGTAGAGAAAATGGCAAAGAAGCAGGCGACGTACTGAAGAAGCTCTCTCATCTTGGCGCGCAGCCCGTCTGGGAGGGAGGCATGGGCAGCTGCAGCCCTGGCTACTCAGGGAGCTGGGCGCTGTGGTCTCCTGTGCCTCTGGTACCTGAGGAGGTGAAAATACCGGCCTTTTTCTTTTCCTCACACCCCACTGCAGGCGCCTTGAGTTACGGTAAGAGTAATACAAACAGGCTGGAACCCACAGAGGGGTCCTGGAGGTCATCATCCGAAGCAACCAGCCTCCAATCAGAAGCCAGGTCAGCGAAAGGACTGGATATGTTTTGGGTGGGGGAGAAAAGGAACGCTGGTTACATTTCCTGCCCAGGCTGTGGGCTAATGTGAGATGATGGTCTCCCAGGCACGTGCCAGCATCAAGATGCAGAGAAGGAAGAAGGGTCACACCCCATGCTGACGCCTGTAAACTGATCTTTCTCGGGCCCGTCAGGGAAAATGAGCTGTTCTCCTCCCCCTCTGGAAGGAGGCTACACGGTTGACTGCTATTTTATTATAGGACTATTTTAATATTCGCTGACTACCTTAGACAGACAGGCCACTGGGGAAACTATGCCAAACAAGTGATTGCTCAAGGGAGTTTGCATTCCAAAGTGTTGGTCAGAACAGCCCCATGAAGGGTTTCCAGCACCTGGGCCTCAGGTGAGCCGCGGCTCCTAACCGGTCAGCATCACAGAGCAGGTGAAAACCCTTGCTCTGAAGCTTATAGGCTGAGGGCACTTGGGCTGTAGTTTCTGTAAAGTGGGGGTGTCAGAATCTCCTTCATAGATGTTTGGGAAAATCAGACACAAATGATAATGTGTCTGTAAATCATTTAGAAAGGTGTCTGACCGAAAAAAAAGCTGACCAAGGATTCCCTATATGATTATTTTTCTCCCAGGGAGCACGGTTTTAAAATGTGTCTGAAAAAAACAAAACTACTTATGTTAAGAAACAAAACACTTTTAAGTGTCTTTTTGTTTGTTTTGATAGCAGGGGCAACTGTAGTGTTACTTATACTTGAATGGGTGGCCTTATTGGGTGTAAATATTCCATAACCACTAGTCTTTTAAAAATACATACCTTTAAATATGTAAAAACCACATATCTTTAAAATACATACCCCCTTTTTATCATCAGATAGACCTCTCTATAATAAAATATAAATTTTAAGTGACAATAAAAAGAAATATTTTACACGGTTCTTAATGCAAGAGAGAATGACGGGAGAGGGAGAAAGAAAGATCAGGAAAAAGGATTAGAAATAAGTCATTACCCTGGGAAGATTCAGCTACTAAGTTATTTTAGTAACAGCTCATGAAGAGATTACTTTTTTCTATTTAATAATGATTGGGTCATAGTATTCAGAGCAAAAGGCTAAAACTAGTAATGATGCAACATCCTTCAAGCATATATTAAAACAATAACTTTTGTGACTAAAACTTATTTTCTCATTTTAATTCATTTATATTCAAATATATAAAATGTAAATTTAATTGTACAAGTAAATGTAAAAGTTGGATGTGCAACCATGTCTGGAATATAAACCCAGTTAAATCATAAATAAGGATATAGACATTAACAGTAGATATCATTATTAGTTGGTGAGATGCTTAAAGATGCTTTTAATTTTGCTTATTTTATTTTACTTAACAATTGGGGAAAATAAACATTTTTTTAAGTGCTCATTCAAATAGTTAATTGCCTATGTTGTAAGGCAGCTACAATGCATGCATACTGCTCTGGTGACTCACAAGTGAATCTTTTCCTGTGCCCTAAAATATAAAATGCTCATGCTCTATTGATCTGGGAGAGGAAACTAATTCCAAAAGCACATGCCCATTACAGGAAAAGTCCTGGACTTAGCTGCTAGCTTTCCACCCAGGGACCTTTCAAATGTACTTTTCCTACTAACAGGGCACCTCAGGGCAATGGTTCTTAAACTTGAGTGCACGTTGGAATCTCCAAGGCCATTTGTTATAAACACACCTGGGACCTCAACCCTCAGAGATTTGGATTCAGGAAATTAGGAGTGGAGGCCAGGGGTTCACATTTATATATGCTTTTTATGTAATTCTGATTCTGAAGCAGTGACCCTGCTTTGAGAAACTAAGAAGAAGAAGAAAATCTGCATTAAAAGCAGAGTACTACTTTTCAGAGTCATATACTATAGGTCACGGACAAAGCTGTGGGAAGTGAGATATCAGAATTACATTTTGGTAGCAACTCTTCCCTAACTAGTACCAATAGCAGGTCCCAAATTCAAATATCAGAACTTAATGGAGAAGATTAAGGAAAGGAAAATACATTGAGCACATCATGTACCCTAGATGCAAACATCCACATGTACACATATATCTCTGGAAATCAGAGATTCTTTCACAAGAAAGATATGAACTGTAACTGACTTATTTCATTTCCAAAATTGTACTGGGCATTGTATGTAGTTGAGGGTGGGGGGACTATTCATTGGGCTATAAAACAATTTCTGAATCGAAGTTTACTACTTTTAGAGAAGAATATAAGGCAATCAGGCTTACATCTTCATTTCTGTGGGTGAGGCCATAATATGATGGCAGATCCAAGAAAGGAGAGCCATGCAGACTAACAGAGTAGGCATGACTTCATGGATGGGACGTGAGGGAACTTCTAAGGAAGAGATAACAGTGCAGGGAGCCATGAGGATGGAGGGTGCAGATGCAGAATACATCAGTCACAAACCTATATAGACAAATCACTTTCACTTTCTTCCCATGCTCTAATACCCAGTATTTTGTTTTATCAACTCAATTCTAGTTTAGTTCCATTCCACACAGCACACACTATGGACAGCCTCCTCTGATTCCAGTACTATATAATAAGTCCTGGTGACCCAGGGAAAATAGAAGATGGAAGACCTGGTCTCTGTGTTTAAGAAGCAACAGTGAGTGGACCAGAGCTAGACTCATGGTGTAAAGTGAAGAGTTCCACTTAGGTAACTCTGAATACAGCTTTAAGCTAGAGTACCACTCCTAATAATAGTGCACAGGCACATTCGATAGAAATATGCAGCGTTTCCCAAAGTAGAATAAACAAAAAGGACAACTGTCACTATGCCCTGTGGCTCAGTAGTATTCACAAAATATTGTCAAATGCATTATCTCATCTAAGCTCCAGGAAGACAGACAGCTTGCTTTGTTCGCCTATACATCCCAAGTGCTTAAATTCTGCCTGGTATACAGTAGGCGCTCAACAAATATATGTTGCATTTAATTTAATCCTCACAACCCCCACATTTTACAGAAAAGGAAGTGACATTATACTTGCTCCTTGCTCTCTCTGAATCATGCAGGATCCCCCAGGTTAAAGACTAGGCTGGCAGAAGTGGCTCGATCATCTTCGCTGCTTCAGAGCTCTTTATTCTGACAGTCCCTAAGGCATTTTGGTCGTTTCATATGCACTGTGTTTCCATTTACCCAGTATTTGCACTACTCCTGGCTAAAGCTTTAGAGCCACCTGGTGATGAGGTGAATGACGCGCTCAGCCTAGCTCCGTGGATGCTGGTCTACAATAGGAAGTGTACAACTAGAAACGGGCGATTGTAACTTTGGCCTGCAGGTGGAAGCAGCTCTGCATTTTCAATTGAGAAAAACAGCAAGCTGTGTTAACTCCTGTGTCTGTTAATATCTGCAACTGTTCCTTCTATATTCATTTTAATGAGTCCTTAGAAGGAATAAGCTGATGTATACCACATCTTATGAATAATCTTCTCACTCTCTTTTAATTGCCCAGTGCCCACTGGGAAAACCTACACACTGAAATCAGTTGCTAGTGTCAAAGGCCATGCTGACTACAATAATGGCAAAATAAATTAGTGGTTAAAAGCTTGGCCCTCAGAGTCAGGCAGGCCCAAGTTCAGGCTAAGACACTTAATATATGTGAGCTCTTGGGCAAGCTACTTAATAGCTTGTTCAATAAAATAAGAATTATGAATTCTGTCTAAAATGGCTGTGAAAAATAAATAATATTTGTAAAGGTCTGAATACAGTGCCTGGAATATAAAAAAACAATGAATTATAGCTATAATGATTTTTATGTTACAACCTTGCTCTTCTACATATATGCCATAGATATGTATGTGTGAATATATATATTTATATTTATGTATATATGTGTGTACTCATATATAATATATATAAAACAACTTACTACATTGAACACAGAAGAAACAAAAGGTGTAATCATAAATCGATTTTATTTTTGTCTCCTATGTCCTTTCAAATCCACTCAGTTTGGATCAATTCTTCCCCTGCCTCTTGGATAAAATCTAGGGTAAGCATCATGACATTTTCATTATTCTTAGATAATATAAATTCTTTCGATCATTTCAAGGCACAAAGAAAGAGCCTCATTCCAGCGGTATAAATATCTCTACTCCTCTATTTAGGCCAAGCCCCGTTATACAGGATCAGGAAGGCCTCAGAACAATGCACCTGCCACAGTCTCTGCCCTTTAGATTTCTTAGACCTGAGACATACAGCAGTCCATTATGTCTCTGCAGATCCAGGGAACAGATATTAGGCTTTCAGAATAAGTGGGTTGAAACTCCTTTCCCTAGTCTTAAAGTGAGGTACAAGAATTCTCACCCTCCTCCACTGTGACAGGGAAGTGGGACTCAATATGCACCAATAGCTGTCTCCAAAAAATATTTCCTAATATGTATCACATTTCTTTGAGTCAACCTAGTTTTTTTTTGTTGTTTTTTTTTTGGGGGGGCAGGGAACAGCGGATATAACTGATCTACTAAGAGTTGGAAAACTGGTTCTAACGCACCTCTTTTGCAACTCCTACCTGGGGTTTCTCATCTCGTTTTGGAATGAAGTATCTATTGTCTAGTGACTTCAGTTGAAACTGAGACTAAAATGATTTCCATTGAAAAGCCTATTACACGGGGTTATGTGATGCTAGACAGGAACGCTAGCGTTCATCCTCGCCGCACCACACCTGGATTTGTTGTGTTTACTCTTCAGCACCGCTATTTAAGAGCCAGATCCCATCTAGAGGAGACGGTTCCAGTTAGAGCAGTTAGGGAAGAGGTTGGCAGCCATCTCCTACTAGATATGACTGAAGAAAGTTGGGGTGAAGAGGGGATTTTAAGTCTAAATAAACGAGACAATAAATATGACCATGGGTTTTCAATAGGATTGCCATATAAAAAAGGAATGATCTTTTTTTTTTTAAGATTTTTATTGGGGAATTGGGGGAAGGGGAACAGACAAGTTGCTGTCCTTTTGTTCTTCAGTCTAGTTGTGGAGGACGTTGCTTCACTGGCCCAAGTTGGCACCATCATTGAGCTCTTCTCGTTTGAGGCAGATCAGTCGCCGGCTTCTGGATAGCCGCTCACTGCGGCTGCTGGCCGCTCACGCTGGCTGCTGGCTACACACAGTAGCCCATGGCAACCCACTGCAGCAGGGGCTGC